TGAAAAGAAAAGTATGCATTCGAACGTTTTTTAATCAAATTCGATACTTTGTTCCGGGTTAGAGAAAAAAAAACAATTATCTGATGCAATGTTAGCAAATATTTATTTTGGCAGATTACGGCCTGAGGAACATCTCCGAGCTCCACAAGAATTTTTTAAAGCCCAGTCAGTAATTTTCAACGATTGAAGTCAAAGCAGACTGTTAAGCGGGCCGAGTTTGTGGAAATGCACTTGGACCTAATTGAGGTAGTTCTTTTCAAACAAATAATATTTTTTAATGTGAGAGCAAATTTCTTGCTTCTCCGAAAATTTGCATTCTTTGAACATTTCATTTCAAAGTTTTTACGCAAAACATAGATATTATATATTGCATTGCTACATTACTATAAGCACTATTACTATACTACTACACTAACCGTCACACATATGTTTGTATGATAATTAACTTGTACGCTGAAAGCGAAGGAAATGAAAGAATAAAGCAACTATATTAATTTTCCTCATTACTTCGGCTAAAAACTGTTGTTTATTGAAATTACTTTACATATCTGACAAATTGTGTTATTGTAAAGAAGTGCAAACCCCAAACTGCTGAGGTAGGCAAAATAACGTCTATATATGACAGATATCTTTATGGAATGTATAATTTTTATTGTGCAGTTTTATTCTTTTGTCTTCATGTTGAGATAAAATAAGAAAATAAAATTTTATAATGGGTCTTTAACGTTTTAATAGTTACTCAAACATATTAAGGCCATTCTTTTCCCATATGTAGACCAGCTTCCATTGTTGCTCATTATGTTTATTATTCTCCATTTGTCTCCATTTTTACGTGTGTTAATATTACATTTATTTTTCTTCAGATTATCATAAGTTTTCTTTATTCTTCATAAATTTCTATTTCCATTCATGTAACATTTTAGCCTTAACTCACATGTGAGTTTTAATGCATTCAATCTTAATCACACAATTACATGGTTCGATAATACCTATACTTCTTCTGTCTATTCCATATGATGTTAGTCTCAGAGAAGACTTTCAGTATTTTTATCTTCGTACTTTGTTAACAATTCTGTAATGGACTCTTCAGTTGTTTTATCTCGCAATGAATTTTCAAAGTTCCTTCAGAGAAAGTGCAAGTCATTGCCTTGAAATAACTCCCCTTTTCCTTGGCGTTTCTTTAAAGAGCTCCGCAGTTTTCGTCTGCTGCCCTGCCCCTCCCTCCTCTTCTTCATGAGGGCCGAGGAATTCCTTTCGGGGGGGCGGTGGCAATCCAGCGGCGCTCCCTTGCGGTCGTTCTACTTTTATGTGGGCATTCTCCTCCCTCTGCATCTGCCCTTATACGTTTCGCATTTGTATTAAATAAATTCTAACGAATTCTCGTATATTTCTTGACGGTTATATTTGCCCTAATAATCAGGTTTGCCTTTCCGATCACCATTGCCTGATATATTTGTTCTGACATCAGCCCTCCGCTTCTCTAGTACTCTATCATTTTTTAAAAATTTTCATCGTACTATCCTACTGTGTTTCCTCCGCACCTTCTTTTTACAATTTTGTCTTGCTTACATTTCGTCTCTCGCCCGGGACCCTCCCCTCCCTAAAACCCGCCTCGTACGTCCACCCTCACCTCTTTCTCTGTCCGCTCCCCTTTACCCCCCCCATTGCCTTCTTCGTCGCTTTGTCGTGGAGAAGCCGCTCCTTCGAATTACAGTAATTACGGCGTTTTTCGTCTTTTATCTAGCGGGCGGGGGCATCGCCCTTCGAGGCATCGTTCCGCTCTCTCCTCTCCGACGCCCTCCTCACCCCACCCCAACCCACCCCTCCCGCGGACTCGACGCCTCGTGCCATCGCTTGCCGGCAAAAAGCGTTTTCTCGTTCCTGCAGCGCCCGAAGAATCCCGTGTTTATTAATTCAGCCCCATCCCGCCTGTCGATATCAATGAAAATATAAATCGATGTGTCGCTCTTCTTTTGTTACTCGCATGCAAGCCGGACGTGCGGGATGCAGCTGGAAGCGGCGGCACTAGACAAAGGAAAATTTAATTTTCTCCTGATCTTGATTACAGCAAAACATAAATAGCAAATGCGTTCGTATTTCTCTGGAAATTAAATTTGTGAAGGTGTTTGTTCCTGGTTGCTGCAACGTTGCTGTATAGTACTTTGTCGAAAGGATGGACCTAAAGGTCCAAAATATTTGTTAACGATACTGTTATTTTGGTATTAATTTTGGGAATATACTGGAGTGAATTTCCTTGTATAACATTCATGGCTGAAAACGACTATGTTTTCATTTTAATAAAAACATGCATAATTCTTCTAAATATGAAAAAAAATGAAAACATATTTTGAATTATCTTTTTTAATCGTATTACTAGTAATGAATTTAATTTAGAAATATTTGTTTCACAACGAATATTATTGTATAATGAACTTATCTATGTATTTTTAACAAACAGTGATTCGGAATTAACATTTGAATAAGCGAGCAAACTATAATATTACCGATGGGGCAGTCCATATGCTGGATGTCAAAATGTTTCAGTCGATGCAAACGTTTTTTGATATTTTTTTCGTAACGTGTTAACCCTCTTCTTCTTTAATAAACGTTTTCGAAAAAGGTGGCAGTAACCAACTGCTAAAGATTGTCAATTACTTTTACCGTTCCAGTTAAAAAATCGAACGTAAGAGTTCGTCGTTCTTCTGCTATCTTCTATCGCTCTGCAGTCTAGCTTCCATTTTTCTCCATGTTCTATTCCGTGCTAGTCTCGTCCAGTCGTAGTCTGCTATTTTTTGTTGACCGCCTGTCCATCCTCTTCGTGATTTTACCACTATTCTCCATCCAATTCTGAGATTCCAGGCTGTCGAGGTGTGTACAGAAATATTAGTACAATGCATTACTAAACTCTTTCGCCTGCATTCAGAAAGTCATTTTCATCTTTATTACAGACAATGCTAGTTTGGTCATTCCTGACACTTTCTGTTTACATCCCTGAATAAGCCCCTGAAAAATTTTGTAGTAAATACGATTTTTTATTTTCAAATTTGAAACAGTAGCGTAACAAAACCGTCGCCAACCCGCGTCGCCGACGGAAAACTGCCTCCGTGCGATACGGCGTAAAATTCGTGTGCTGCGCACGTGCCGGCACACCGCACACTTCCTTCTCGTTTCCAGATATGAAAATGAATTCCCCCGGGGAGGAATTTCGAATTGAATTAGGCTGGCCCTATGATTAACAGCGGCCGCTCCCTTCTCCCAGCGCCGCGCCGCACAGCACCGGCTCCCCCGCGAGCGCCGTCGTAAATCAAAAATCCCGCGTGGGGTTTAAACCGCCCTCCCGTTCCCGGCCACGCGACAGAGGGTGGGCGCGTTCTTTACGGTCTCGTTCTTTCTTGGGCCCGCTTCATGCGGTATGACTTTTCACCGCCACCTAGATCGCGTACGTGCAAACTCAGTTCATTGTTGCGGTGGATTTAGCTGCAAGCCATGGATGGATTAGCGGCAAGCTTGCGTCTTGCGACGGGTTTGTTGTGGGGTTAAACCCGGAAGAAGCGATTCCTGTGGTTCAGTCCCTACCAGTAACTACATAATGTGAATGTAGAGTGTCTTGTATCTTGTTATTAGTTTGGTAAATGGGAGTAATAATAAATGGCGATTTATCCTCGGGTGTCTATTTATTATTCCGAATCCAGCAAGCCGTCGTTCTTTAATGCGATATTATGCCACGAGTATATCCGAATATCCAGAACCCACTGTACTTCAGCATTGACTCAATAGATGTCCGATCTCATTAGCATTAATATTTTCATTGCCCATATAGCATTGATTCGACTGACATGAATGTCTTAGAAAGGTGCATTTTCACATATAAATACGTGGAATTAAAGGCTGGGGTCTTATTTTCGTTTCCCGATCGTTTATATGGATTTATTTCATTTTTCTTTTCAATCTTCTATCAAGGTAAGGTTTATAAAAAGTATGTTCTGATTATTTACGTGGGTGATTATTTATGTGCTTCTCGGTAAAAAATATTCAGAATTGTTTGTATTGTTTTCAAATATATACACATATATATATATACACACACACTTGAAACTTCAATCCTAGGAGTGCAATTAAATGCAGTAGTGGCATTACGCACTTATCTGCATTAATGGAATAAAATCATCATTGAAAATCCTCTATTTAAGACCCTTAGGTGAATGAATTTTTTTCCAGATCGTATCTCCTTTACCCACCATCAGGTTTTCCCCTCCCCCGGTTCCTCGTCTAAGCCCAACGCGCGTCTTCATTCACCCGCGAGCGTGCACACAACAGGGCAGTGCGCCCGTGCCTCATTTGCGCTAGAACGTTCCATCATTATTCCTGATGGACCGATGCTTTTACGTGGCGGCTGCCGCTGTCTTGCTTCTGTGGCGTTTCGCGGCCCTGGCTGCGGGGGCGGACGGCGAGGCGGCCGACTGCCGACGCGACGCCCGCTCCTCTCGTTTGCCCCTCTCCAGTAACCGTGAGGAGACGGGGGTTTAGTAACTATTAGCATTGTATGCTTCAGCTGATTAGACTCGTAAAGCGAAGGGTGGGCTAATAACTTAAGTGAACTAACTGAAACTATTTTATTTTGTACTGCTACGTAATAGCTTGTTATTGCCTTCAATATGGAGTTCGATGTACACTGCCTAACTTTCTTTGATCGATGGGATCGTTGTGGCGAGGGAAATATTCAAAAAAGTTGAATAATACCACATGTTCTCTTATTATTTAATTATTATCTTTTATGGAGGGAAATTTTGAAAATACAAACCGAGTATATTTATTTAGTAAATAAATCTGAATTAATAAAATAAGTCCTTAGGTATATGATGTGAGGTTTTTATTTGGGAAATATGGATTTTAGGGAGATATTTCGTAACGCAATAAAGTAATTAATAAATAATGAAATTGATATTTGTTGGTATATTTACATATCTTGAATTTTCTTCTATGAAAGCACATGATAAAAGTTACTCTTTCGCAAAATTCCAGCTATGAACCGCCATAGTTGGGAATTCAACACTTGTGTTTGAGCAGTTGGAACTCTTCGTTGGATCTCTGAATCTGAGAGATTTCAAGAAATGAAATGTCATATCATTGCTTTGATATTAAAACTTAATATAATATTACTCATTTTTGTGAAAACAGTTGACTAATTCATTCATATTTTATTGTAAAAACAACGTGAAATATCGACGTTTGAATTCCCAAAGAAAGGCAAATGATTTGCTGAACGGTCTGCAATCATCCCTGCGCTATATGTTGATCTCCAGTTCTTTTCCGAAAATATGTTGATTTAATTCTGCTAAATACTACGGTGTTTTTACGAGCATCGTAAACAGTTGTCGTTAAAAGTAGTCTAACAGTTTAATTCCGCAGTCATGACTGAGCAGCGTTCGGGTGTTTCCTTCTTCCTCCCTCTTTAAAATTCGTCGTGGTCGCCATGCTCGCCTTGTCGCTGTGTGTTGGTGTGCGGCCTGCCGTGAGCAGCGCGTGTCACGAAGACGAGGGCGAGGGCGGGGGCGACGGCAACCGCGCGGACGCGGAGGTGGCGACGCCTTTGAGCGGCTGTCGTCGCGGGCACAATGGCGCGCGGCGTTTAGCCCATTATTTCGGGGACAAGCGCATTTGCATGGGGAAAGAAGGTCCCGACGTGGCCGGCGGCAGGGCCCCTTTGTGGGCTGCGCGCCCTGTGACACTGCGAGGTCGCCTCGCTCC